TCTTCTAAGACAGTATGTGATAACTGCACTGTTAGAAGAAATCCTACTATAAGGTCGTGCTTGGCTTCTGCTGGGAACTGGTGTCTGAGGCCTACTACTTAGCTGATGGGTGCTGGGCAGTTTTGCAAGTGAGAATACTTGCTGATATTTGAAACACTGGTGCTGTTTGGGGTCCTAATGGCAAAAAGCTCAATGGTAGTGGAGAACTGAAGCAATGTTGATTTTTCTTACCCATGCCTAAAAGGCAATGTTTTATTAGGGCCAAGCAGAACAATTCTAATCCCAATCCTACATGAAAAACTTTCAAGTACTTAGAGACAGCCACAACCATCTAACTCTTATCTTTTGAGCCTGACTACCCAGTTCCTTCTGTCAATTCTCATATGGTACAAACTTGAGGCCAGTCACAATCCTGATCAATCTCCTTTGGAAACCTTCCAGGTTATTGATGTACATCTTAAAATGTGGTATCCTGGCTTGAACATCTAATTCTATACAAAACTGCCAAAACATAATGAGGTAACACAATCAAAGATGTCCATCAGGAAGAATGATGCTCAAAAACAATAGTTCTCCACTACCTACTCAATAAAGATGCTTGAATTCATCTGTCATTTTCAAGTGCTTTTTGTTTAATCTCCCCACTAGATTATAAGCTCTATAAGGGCAGTGATTGTGTCTAGTTTCATTTTTATCACTTAGCAGAGCATAGGTACACGCTAATTTTTTACTTATTATTTCCAGAATGGCTGAGAGAAGGCACTTGTATAATGTCTTGTGAACACCTACTGGCTTTTCCATAAAGACTTTACTGATATCACTTATTCCATTACATTTCTCTTGGTATCCCTTTCTTCCCCTTTCAGAAAGCTATCCTGTATAAAATTATTTTTTAAAAAGATAGGAAAAAAATCAGCAAAATTTATCAATATATTTTTAAAAATCTGACATTATATGCAATGTAATCCACAACTGTGGATCTCTCTGCTTTTGCGAAGGGAACAAGATAAAATGTTTTCTCATGCTTCTTTTTTTTGGGGGAGGGCAATCATGTATTTTACAATTTCACAACATTCATTTTCAACTGTTTTGAGGTTGTTCTTTCCCTTTACATTGGTTGTAGTCACCATTTTTATTGTCTTCTTGGCTCTACTTCACTTTGCATCAATTCATATCAGTCTTTGCATACTTTTCTAGATTCATTATTTGTTTCTTATAGCACAGAAAGAATCCCTTACACAACTGGTTTAGACATTCTCCAATTCAGCTCTTTGCTACCACAAAAAATGTTGCAATAATGATTTTGGTGTGTATGGGGCCTTTCTGTCAGTGACTTCCTTGGGGTATATTCCTAGAAGTGGAAACTCTGAGTCAAACAGTATGGACATTTTAGCCACTTTACTTGAATAATTCCAAATTGCTTTTCATAACCAGCATATAGAATCATTAGTTCCACCAATACTGCATTGCCATGTCTGCCTTTTCACCATCTCTCCAACCATGACTATTCCCTTCTTTTGTCATCTTTGCCAATTTGCTGGATGTGGAGTGAAATCTCAAGATTTAAGATTTGCATTTCTCTTATTAGTGATTTGGAGCATTCTTTCATATGGCTGTAAATAGTCTGTAATTCTTTTGAAAACTGTTCATATCTTTTGATCACTTCTCTACTGGGCAATGGTTTTTGGACTTACAATTAGATAACTTGGAAAACTAAACACTTATAAGAATTTGATACAAAGATTTTTTTCTCCCATTAATCACTTTCCTTCTTATTTTAGACGCATTGAGTGTGTGTATGTGTATGTATGTGTGTGTTTGTGTATGCAACTGTTCCCTATGCCTAGAACACATTCCTTCCTTACTTCCTTCTCAGAGTTCCTCTCTTTTTTAAAGATGCAGATGTGGCATCATATTCTGCAAAAAGTCTTTCCTGAAGCCCCAACTACTAGTGCTCTATCTCCCAAACTACCTTGTATTTACATCTTTGTGTGTTTATTAAGTAACTTCATTATATTTGCGCCGGATATATTTGTACATGTACTTGTTCTCTCCTCCATTAGAATGTAAGCTCAAGGCAAGTAGAAATTATTTCGTTCTTAGCACTCATAACACCAGTGCCTATAACAATTTTGCTTACATTCTGTTGTTGTTGTTGTTCAGTCATTTTCAGTCATACCCGACTCTTTGTGACATTTAGGGTTTTCTTGGCAAAGATACTGGAGTGGTTGGTCATTTTCTTCTCCAGCTCATTTTACAGATGAGGAACTGAGGCAAATGGGGTAAAGTGACTTGCCGAGGACTACACAGTTAGTAAGTGTCTGAGGAAAGATTTGAACTCAGGTAGACGAGTCTTCCTGATTCCAAGTCCAGCACTCTGTCCACTATAGCACCTAGCTGCTCCTATTGGTTACATAGTAGATTCTTAATCCTTGCAGACTGACTTTCTTTTCCATGTGATCAAAATTATCTAGTTTATCTGCTGCTTTTTCCTTTTGTTTGGTTAGGAATTTATCTTCTACCTATAGCTATGAAAGGAATATGATCTGCTTCTCTTCTAATTTTTAATTTTTAATATTCAGGTCACTTAACCATTTTGAATTTGTTAAGAAATATGGTGTAATAGGTGATTTGAATCTAATTTCTTCCAGACTGTTTTCTAGTTGTTATCAAGTAGGGAGTTCTTTACTAAGCAATTTATGTTTTCAGGTTAATCAAATACTGAATTACTTGAATTGCATTATTTTTGATTCTCCCTTATCTAGCCAATTCCACTGACAGAGACTAAGAAACAAATCATTTGTAAAATGTCTAGCAAACCCCTGCTGAGTTCTCAATAGTGACTACTGACTGACAAGTTGGTGTTTCAGGATATAATTATCAGAGGTAAAACAAATTCTCATATTTCTGTTGTGCAAATATATTTGCTTAAAAGCAATTATAGTATGAAATGGATTCATTGGGTGGTCAAATAAAATCATGACTTTAACACATGCAGGCCTAGGAAGTGGTTTGAATAAGCTTTAAATATCAGTTATCCTTTAAGCAAAAATTCATCTCAGATTCCCATTTATTTTGGCAAAGTATAGTCATGGCTACATATTCCAAACTGATATGAAACCAACAGCAGTTTCTAATTGTTTCTGCCTATCCTCTTTTTTCTCCCCTAAACTTACAAGATGCTTTCATTTTTCTGTAAATTTTACTTTCCATTATGTCACACAGACAACGTTTTCTTAAGTCTTATAAACTTCCTTTCTTTCAGAAACTTCTCCTCTTCAGTTAACTAAAAACTATTTTAAATCAATCAATTAATCAAAAAGCTTTTATTAATAGCCTACTACATATCTTGCACTAGACCCAAGTGAAATAGTCCTTGCCCTCAAATAACTCACATTACCTTGGGGAAACATGTACCCATGTAAATATAAACTATGTACAAAATAAATGGAAGGTATTTTGAAAGAGAGACACTAGGACCTAGTGAGAGGATCAGGAAAGGTCTCATGTTTGAGGTGGCATGTGAGCTAAGCCTTGAATAAAATCAACTATTCTAGGTAGCAGGGATAAGGAAGGGGGAAGTGCATTCCAGGGATAAGAAACAGTCTGGACAACTATAGGAATAAAAAAACACTCAGGATGCATAAGGGACAACATATGCAAAGGTGGAGAGACAGGAGATGAACTGTCAATTGTAAGGAATACCAAGAAGGTCAGTTTGGACATCAAGTATACAAAGGGGAATAATGCAAAAGCTTTGAAAGGTAGGTTGTAGCCAGGTTGCAAAGAGCTTTTAAATGCCAAACAGAGGAATTTGTTTTTGATCTTGGAGGTAATGGGGAGCCCCATTAAAAATAAATTATAATTTTTTTCTAAATTATTTTTCTATCAATCAAGATGCCAACGATGGAAGAAAAATCTAAAAGCAAAGGTTTAAAATAAACAATGTCTAGATAATACTCTGGGATCAGAAGAATGGGGGCATAATTTCTTACATTTTTAATATTTACAATATTGTATAACAGGTGTTCATAAAGGTGATCCTCAAGGAACTACAAAATTCTGAATCACTAAAAAAATGATTAAAATTACATTCCATAAAGAATTACTGATTTTTAGGAGAAGAGTCCTTAGAAATGATCTAATCTAACCCCCACTTTATAGATGACAGAATCGTCCCAAAGTCACAAAGCTAGTTCAGCACAGCCAAAAGTAGAACTCAACCTTCTAATTGGGATCCAACATTCTTTCCATTACTGTTAATTACAAAACATAATAAATTACAACTCCCTATTGTCTAAACAATTCAATTAATGAAAGTTTTACTGTACCTGCTACTTTTCCTTTTGGTACATTCCCTCCAACCTTCCTACTACTCGTATTCTCCCTTTACTCCATTCTGTGAGGTTTCCTCAAATATTTTGTTGAATATCTATTGAACAGCTATTCACAACTCAAGGCAGATTACCACACTGGAAAATACTAGGTTACATGAAACAAATTTTATATGTAGCTGTGACCAAAGAAAAGGTAACTGTTATAATTTTTTGTAGTATCATATCATTCAGTCTGTGTCAGATTATATTTAAATAGGCAACAGTAACACTGAATTCAAAATTGTACCATAATGTAGTCAAGAACAAAAGTTAAAAATGGTCATACATTTTAATTAAAAAAAAAATTTAAAAATAAGTCTGGGCATATAGTAGAAACACAAAAGCTTGCTGATCTTGGAATCACTTTGCAATTTTAAGGCAGGATGAGATGATGCTAGAAATGTTGGTCCTCTGATGTGACAGATCACTGTAACAAAATTTAACCCTTTATAAAAGTTATAATGAGTACATGGAGTCCTTTTTTTAGGTTAGCAGAGATCAGAAATTACTTTTAGAATCACTGAAGTCTGGCCAAATGTTTAGTCATCCACAAATAAGTGACTCAGCTATACTTCCTTTATGCTTGCCAGGAAATTCTGTTAGTAGCTAATTAAAGTACAATACCTTTATCTGTGTACTTGTGTTCTAATGCATGAAGATCAGGTAACAGGTGGATGCAGTTGATGCAGCAGTACGTGAAGAAATCCAGGACTACAATTTTCCCACAAAGATCCTTGTAGACAGAAATGGAACTCTCTGTATTCAGCCATTCTAGTCCTGAAATTAATATAAATTTTAGTTATAAGAACAGATAATTCAACTAAAACCATAAAGAAAAAAATGAAACAGCCTTTAAAAAATAACTAATACAACAGGCCATAAATTTTAAGAGATGACTAAAACTTCTAACTTAAGGCATGTGGAATTGAGATGTGTCTATTTATAGCCTTGTATGGGTTTTATGCATACCTATATTAGAGGCAATAATGTAGATTCTGAGGGCAAGGACTGTTTCATTTCTGATTTTGTATCCTGAGCCCCTGACACACAGTTGCCATCCACAATAAAAGCTTTTGCTACCAAGAAACATATAAAAAATACATATTTTTGTTTCCAAGAGAATGTAAGCTCCATAAGGACAGGGATTGTTTCATTTTTGTCCATGTCTCACTAGCACTTGGCTAACAGTGTTCTGACACATTGATAACATAAGGTTGTTAACTGATTGGCTCTTTCAGCAAAGCAAGAGTCAGGGTTTTCTACAGAAAAAAGAAGGGGAAGTGGTATGGTAAGGTCTTGAGAGAAGGAAAAGTTTTAAATAGTCACTTCCAAGGGTAAGATGAAGGAGTGAATCAAGGAAGAATAAAAGTAGTTCAGTACCATAATGAGAATCTAGCTGAGACAGATAACATGCAAACCCAATTAAAACACTTGTGTGATGGGAGGTAGTAATAGAGAAGGCTGGAGGTGGGGAAACACAGGGTTAAGTAGAGGGACAGTGTGAATGATGAAAGAAGGATAAAGATGCAAGGACAGAGGACGCATAAAGCTGAGTTGGGGCAAGACTGTGAAGGAAATACAGTGAGATCAGAACAAGCATGACAAACTGGGGAAACAGTGAGGTGTAGAACTGGAGGTCATACATGGTGGGCAGGAAGAATAGGTTTAGGACAAGGGGAATAAGAAAACAAGACAGTGTGATGAAGGAAGGAAATTTCAAAGTTCAAGATAACAGAGGTAAGAAAGTAACAATTACATAATGGTGAGACCTAAGATACAATTACTTCTACTAGCAGAGGAGTTGGACTAAAAATCTATGGCAGTAGACAGGATTGACAAATTAGGAGGCCAGAGTATTAGACATGACATTCAGATACATACTGAGTCCCCAAACTTAAAGGTGGGTAATAAGATGAAAAAGAAGACTGTGAGTCAGATAATGAACCACTTGAGAAAGAATTATATGGAAGCCAATGAATAATACCAAGAGAGATTTGGAACAAGTAAAATTAATGGGTGGCTCGGACCTCAAAGGGTTGGAAAACATTGCAGTTATAAAAGGCAGTGAGTAGAAGTGTCAAGTAGTATGTCTACTTCCTTTTCTGTTCCCATGTATCCATCAATTTGAGAGAAGGTTCAACCAGAACTAGAGAATGCAACCAAGGATGCTAAATCTTATGGAGAAAATCAGATTTCTTGTATATTCCATTCAGCAAATGCTCATTCCCTACTCTTCAAAAAGCAATAATGCTTCATTAAACCTGTATTCTACTCATTTGGATTCAAGATCATTTGACTTAGGCTGAAAAAGCTTAATGTGAAAAAAGTTTTGCTACATAGACAATGAACATAAAGAATGCAAAGTAAAAGAATAAGATTTTTTGTAGTTATTAAACTGCAAACTCTATTTAAGTCCTCTCTAACTTGCTACTTGGTTTCTCAAAGGTTATTTCAGCCAGGAAGAAGTCTAGTAGATCCTATCACACTGAAAATGTTTAGCATTGGATCCCAAAACAGTCCCCCAAAACAACTAAGCCTAGAGACTTCTTAGATGACCCTTGCAACTTAGAAAGGGTCATCATGACCATGCTGTGGCCATAACTTATTAAACTGTCAATTAAGGTGTCAAAGAGTTTTGATCTATATAGTAGTTGGAACACCAGTACCAATAAAATCACCGGTCTTTGACATTTGTATCAGCAAGTTCATGCCGATGTAAACATATGAACAGCAATCTTCCTTTCTAAAACCCTTAATTCTGAAATTTCCCATTCTGATCCTAATCTCCTATCCTTCTCTTTTCTGTTTGACTTCCTAAACCTTCCTATTCTTTATCCCTAATCTCCTATCCTTCTCTTTTCTGTTTGACTTCCTAAACCTTCCTATTCTTTATCCTCACCATGTCTCTCTGACCCTCTCATTTCACCCAATGCATCATACTTATGTCCTAACTTTCCTTTCTCCACAGTCTTGACTCTGAAGTTTACCACTTCAATCAAATATAATCTTCTACCACTAAATCCCTTGCTCCTATGTCTTTCCACCATTCACCATGCCTATTCTTAACCTTTAATCATGTTACTAAATGTTCCTGGAGGAAGTCATACAACCATGCACTCAAAATTCATGTTATCTGATTTTCACTGTACTGTCTATGCTGCATGGAAATCCTTTTATTCTTCCCTGAGTCCACCAAACTTCAGAAAGTGGCCATTTCAAACCTATTCCTCTCTTGAATTAATTCTCTACCATCACTATTCCCTCTCAGTAGATGAACTTGCCTTCTACTTTGCTGAGAGAATAAAAATTAGCCAGTGAGCTGCTTCATGTCCCCCATGTATCATCTCCTATTTGCTGAATTCTCTGAGATAGAGGTAGCCCTTTTGGTCAGCCCCCCATTTGTGGCCCTGATACTATGTTCCCCAATGGCCTGCCTTGGTCCTTGGCTTTCTTGAATCCCAAATCTTAACCTCTCCCCTATACTCAAAGCTCATACTGCCAACTTCCTGCTGGATGTCACAAAGGCATCTCAAATTCAGTATATCTAAAAATGGAACTTCTTCATATACTACTGAAACCCACTCCTCCAAATTTTCCTATATCTAATACCAACCTATCTTCCCACCTCACTAGACATCACTCCCCTTTCTGCCCTCTTCAATCCAGCCAAACTGGCCTTCTTTGTGTTCTTCACACACATTTCATCTCTTCACACCCAGAATGTACTCACTCCTCACTTGTCATAGAATATTTTTCTTTCCCTCAAAGCATAGCTGAAGCACCATGAAGTCTTCTTTCCAAGTCTTTCTAGAGGTTAGTGCCCTCACTCCTAAACTATCATTTAATTAGTTTATATTTATTCTGTATATGTTTACATATACAGATAAACACATACATTCTCAGATATACATGCCCTTGTCTATCTTTCAGGTTAGAAACGTAAGCTCCTCAAGACCCAAGATTGTTTCTCTGTTTATATATTTGTAGCCGTGCTTGGAAGGCAGTAGGCCTTAACAAATGCTTCTCTATTAACTGATTGAAAGGGTACCATCATCTTTCCAGTACTTTAGTTCACAATCTCAGTCACCCCTCATGCCCCTCTTTTCACTGCCCCAATCCAATCAGTTTCAAAGTGTTCATATTTCTCAAATCCATCCCTTCCACTCAACTCCCATTACTCCCACTCTTAGCATAACCTCCTAACTGGTCTCCCTACTTCTAGTCTCCAATAAATTCACCTACCAGCTGCCAAAATTATCATCCTAAAGCACAATTTCAATTATATCATTCCCCTGCTCAAAAGTGTTCAGAGGTTCTCCACTGCCCATAGGAATACAAACTCTACAGCCTGGCATTTAAGGCTCTCTCATGCTAGAAATGTACTTCCTTCTCATCTTTACATCTCAAAAGCCAGACTTCCTCCAGGTTTCAAGTCATCTCTCCCCTCAAGCCCTTCTTGATTTCCTACTTGCCAGTACTTTCTTCTTATAACCCCTTGAATTTACTCATTTATATAGTCCTTGGGCTTTTCCTTATTTTTTGTTTTTGTCATTGTATTCTACATACTAGCACAGTGGCTTATACACGAGGCACTTAGATGTTTTTTGCATCTTAATAATTAGTACTGTATTCCTATTGTGAAAAACCATGTAGTAGCTTAAATTACCATACTTCAATAAAAACTTAAGAAAAGTTGAAGAAAAAGAAGTATCAATTGGTATCCCATCCTTAAAATGTGGATAATTCTTGGAGTGTCTACAAAAAACAGATGAGAAAACATATATAAAGCAATTTGCAAAACTTAAATCATTACATAAATGTCAATTATTGTACCCTTTTTACAGATGGGGAAATTGTAATACAGCTAGTTAGGCAGAATCTGAACCCTGGTCTCCTGGCTCAAGTCTAGAGCATTTTTACACTAGGGCATAATGTCTTATGGCTTAGTTGTATAACATCATGAGTTGGTTAAGTCCCAACTTCTAAGAAAGGACCAAAAGTAGTTATATTATTTCTGATATTCACTTATTGTCTATTAGCTTACAGCTTTTTCTTGTTGGCAAAGCACTTATATGTTACAAAATCAATTTAAAAATCAGCAAACCAAGACAGAAAGCATTTCAGTGTTTTGTTCATAATGATCAGAACCCTATGAAATCTTGGTTATAATATATCTGTGGCAAACTTAAATACATGGACTGTACATATCTAATTTGATAGGGCATCTATCTTACTTTGTTTCAAAGAGTGTCCTGCTAAAATTTAGTATTGTTCAATGTTGAAATGTTTATCTACAGCAAGAAAAGTAACGTGAAGTAGAGAGCAATTTAAACAAAAAAGGACACTTTGTAATACATCTCAGCTTCCCCTGACCCTCAGAAGCCAATGCTCCAAACAATGGCCTTTACTGGTATGGTATTTTAGAAGTCAAATACCATTACAACAAAATTAGTCATCATTAAAAATTCCAAACCCCTGCCAATAGTTCATTTAAGTTTAAGTACAAGTTACAGTAGAATTTCTGTAAAACAAAAGAAATCTGTATCCTTTTTAATGTCCATTTTTAAGAGAACCAAGAAGCGGAATGATATAACAGGGCATTAGAATTGGAATCTGGAAGAGCTGGGTTCAAATTTTACCTCATGAGCTTACTAGCTGTGCGACACTAAGCAAGTCACTTAACTTCTTTATACCTCAGTTTCTTCATCTGTAAAACGAAAGGATGGGCTTCTCAGGACCCATTTGGCTTATAGATTGTAAGCCTGATGGCTGGGGTTGTTTCCCCACTTTCTTTGTCACCCTGTGTGGGACAATATAGTGAGCATTTTGTAAATACTTGTTGACTTGACTTCTAGATCTACACCTATGAACTTACTAAAATGACTTCTTTGTTAAAACCCAGTAGGGCTTTGTCAAGTAAAAGCTGGCCCTGCTCTTGGTAAGCAGAGGGTCATGAGAAGTGTCCTGTTTCTGCAAGGCAAACAGCAGGGCTCGCTGGCCAGGAAAATGCCAGGTCCCTGCTTCCCTGATGGCGACAATTGAGCCTGGCTACTTCCAGCCCATTAACAATGCATGAGCTCTCTGTACACCTCCACCTCAGGTAAACCGTAAAGGCCTCCCCTTTGCCCACTCTGCCAGGGAATAAGGGCCAAAGAAGGGCTTCGCGGAACAGCATCTGCCGCCTCATCCGCAAGGATGGATCTCCGAGAACGGACGTTTCTGAAGTACGAGGTGCAGCGGCTGTATCCTTCAACGGTTGCAGATCAGTGGTTGCACTCAAAAGGGGGCAGAGCACCCCTAAGTGGGCTGCCGAAATCAGTGAAACTACCTTGTTGATGGATTGTAAGCTCCTTGAGGGCAGGGACTGTTTCGGGCTTGCTTTGTCTCCCCAGGCTTGTAGCTCAGCACCTAGAAACGCACCCCAAGAGGTGGCCTGGGGGAGACGGGGAGGGGTCTGAGGATACCAAAACCTCAGCGGCTATGGGGGTGGGGGTGGGGCGCTGGACAGGAGATATCTGACAGTCAATAAGCATTTATTAGGCGCCTCCTGAATTCCAGGCATCGGGAGGATGCCGAGCAAGGCCACTCACAACCCCAGCGCCCGGCCCCCGCCTCACCGCCTTGGGGCAGGGGAGGGGCTGCCCGGGGTCCCCTCACCTTCCGGGAACTCGGGCACAGTCAGGTCCCGCTCCCAGCTGTCCACCTTCTGCAGGTACTGGTAGACCAGCGTGTCTTTCTCCTGCGCGGTGACGGCGTCGAGCAGCGCGTACTCCAGCGAGGTCTGGGCGGGCAGCAGGGCCGACAGGCTCGAGCGCGCGGCTCCAGGAGCCGCCATGTTCCCTGTGTCTCTCCGGCTGCGCGGGCCGGATTCCTTCCCAGGGACCTGGGGCAGGGTGGGGGGAGGGAAGAAAGCCTAGACGGCCCTTCGGTTTCAGTGCGGCATATTCACCTCTCCCTTCACGGCGGAATTTACCTCTAACTTACGTTTTGTTTTGCTTTCAAGTCTTAAATATCAAAGTTCTAATTATTTTTAAACACCACTTAACCGCGAAATTGTCGCCCCGCCCCCCTGCTTTACCTTTTCGAGGTCATTTCCCTACCGGCGAGTGCAAATATTCGCAGTGGTAGATTCGTAGTCGAAAAGGCACGGGAAATACTATCCTGCGGGGGCCCTAAGTAAATGAATTCTTCCCGACACATGATGTTTAAAAGGAAATACATATTTAAATCAAAGTTGTGGAACTCAGATAACAATATTTCCCCTTCGCTCACTTTGAAGCCCCCCCTCTACCTCCCCGTATTTGTTCGAGATCAGCGGATTCGATACGGCCCTTGGAGCGGGAAGATGTTCCCGCCTCAAAAGAAGCACAAAGTTAAGAAATCGAGGTACGAGTAGAATGGAAGAGGCCGCGTCCTGAATTAAGGGTAGGGGAGACTCGCAAAAAGAGAAACAAAGAGTTCTGTCAGTTGTCCCCTGGCGTGTGGAAAGTGCTGGAGCGGATGAAAGGTTAGTGCCGAGCCCGCGGGTGAATGAAGGGAGCAGAGGGGACTGAGAGGGGGGAAAGCGGGCGGGGGAGAGGATGCAGCTGCAGCTCTGTGGTGTGGGGGGGCGGGCCCTGAGGTCACAGGTGTGGATGCCACCGGGGTCTCTGTCAGGCAGGAGTCCCAGAAGGCCGGGTTCTTGGACTGATAAAAGTCTTAGCGATGGCTCTCTATTGGGGGCTTGGCTAGCACTGCCTCTTCCCGCACCCCCAGGATAGGGATGGCGCCAGGCCCTGACCCTTGGACCCACAGTGGGCCCCTTGCTATCTTTTCCATTCAGAAACCAGGCAATTCTAGAGGAAGGTAGAGGGAGGTATCAGGTGGCCCCATTTTGGCTAGAGAGCGTAAAGAAGGCCAGCCACCTCGCTGTCATAGACTCTTTAGGAGACATGATCTCTGTACCCAGGAATTTCACGCTTCAAGTTGTGTCTGTTTCTTTGTACAGTGGAAGATGCTGCATTGTTCCCGGAAGCCGAATTTGTTCAGTGCCCACAGCTTTGAATGATAGTAGTGCGATTTCTTGCTACGGGGAATCATCTTTACCCACCTCCAAACAAGAAGATAGGCCATTTCCTTTTTGGAACAGTTCTTGCACCAATTAACTAGGAGAAAAAATTAATGATTTTGTTTTGAGAGTAATTTAAACATATGTACATTTGGGACAGGGTTTATCCCTTTTACAACACTATTTGTATATTAAAATAGTGAATTTTGGAGTAATTTAATGCCTGCGAATTCTGAAATTTCCTTAAGTGCTTGAATTTGAAAATACTTCTAATTTCTAGATTTAAGACTATGTCTTTGCTTGTTTACAATAACTCAAGTTAACTCTCAGAATGAACCAGCAACAACAAATAACTAATCATCATAGATGTGTAACCTTTAAAATTTTATTGTGGTATTAAAAACTACTGCAGATTTTTTGGGGGGTTTTGGTTTGTTGTTTTTTTTTTTTTTTGGAAGCAGAAAATTACTGCAGGTTTTTCTTTGAAGCAGAGTTTGTATTTTCCCAAGCTCAGTGAATTGGACACACCACTCTTTTAAAGCTTAAAGCTTTTTCAGTGGATTTAATTTTTTGTCTTTTATTTTTTTTAAAAGACAGTAATTGCAATTACAGTAATTTTACATCAAAGCTTGAACTCTCAATTCATCTAGGTTTGGTATTGTTTTGATGATACTGCTGCATTATCATGTCAGAAGAAAACTTATTGGAAGAAGATATCTGGGAATATAAATCCATAAGAAAACGAAAATTGGGAAAATCAGATGTTTCTAACTCTGTTCAAAAGGCTACAGATGGTAAATGCAAATCAAAAAGATGTGAAAGTAAAAACAAAAGGACTGTGGAAGTTAAGGAAAAATCTAAGGAAGATGAATTACATTTAGGAGAAAGAGGTTCTCAGACACTTGTGTCTGAACCAAACCTAAACAGTAGCAGTAATATTCAGCAGTCCCTGGATAAGGTAACTACGAAAGCAAAGCTTGGAAAGACAAATACCAAAAAACTAACCCCAACAAAGCAGCATCCAGTTTATAGTGGACACTGTCCAAGTTGCCAAATGCCTTTTTCCTTATTGCTGGGTCAAACACCTCGGTGGCATGTTGCTGAATGTTTAGATGCTCCACAGTCCTCAGAAAGAGGTAAGCTTTTAGAGTGAAGGAAAATGATTTGTAACCAATCAAAATGGTCAGATATGCCAAATTTACATCAATTGAATGAAAAATTAAATGAGTCAGGCAATGGGATCCCAGGATGGATATGAAAGCTACTGTGAGTTTAACTGGGTTATAGTGAAGAGGGAAGATGAAAATCAAGAATATTTTTTTCTTTGAGCTTGTTAAAGATATAGTTTAAAAGATTTAAGAAGGGCAAAGAAAGTGTCAGAGGTCAAAGGTACTCCTGTGAAGAAAGGTATAAACAGGAATAATTTTTTAAGGAAGCTTTTAAAGAAAGCTTTTAAAAAAATTCTTCCCCTCTACCATATAATTTCATGAAAACATAAAAGGAAAGTGTAAATATTTTGCCTTTGAAATCAACAAATGTGCATGATGCATTCACCATGATAAAATATGTAGAAGGAAGATTCTAGGAAGGTTTCAGGTGCAGAGGCAGCAGAACAGTGGCGAGATCACTGAACACAGTCAGAAGAGTCTGATACTTGTGTGATCTTGGGCAAGTAACTTAATCTGTTTCCTCATCTATAAAATATAAGGAATGACCTCTGAGGCTTGTCTAAATTTACATGAATTCCCAAGCCAGGGTCTATGAACTGTTTTTTTTTTTTAATTGACAAGTGTATTTCAATATCATTGGTTTCCTTAGTAATCTTATGTATTTTATGCATTTAAAAACATTATTCTGGCCAGTAGGTTTCACCAGTCTACCCAAGGGGAACACGGATTAAAAAAGTCTGTGAACCTAAATAGGGGGTTATAGCTAGTATTTATATAGCACTGAAAGATTTGTAGTTTGTTTTACATATATTATTTTATATCATCTTCGTGATAACCTTGTAAAGTAGATATTGCAAGTATTTTCTATATTTTGTAAAAAGACAAAGCCTTAGAGTTTAAAAAAAAAAACCCAAATTTACCTAAAGGCATATGACGTAATCAGCAGACCTTCTAATGAATGCAATAAGCTGTGTGCAACATGAAAGTTACACTAAGCATAATTTAGTCATTCTTTGATTCAGAAGACACTTTAAAATCTTAACAAGATCTCATTATTGCCAACTGTCATTTATCATTGGGCCGTAACCTACTTGTTTCTTTTAATAAATTTATGAATTAACTATTTACATATCATTTTTTTTTCTCAAAGAAGTAGGGTACAAAATTTACAAAAACCTCTCAAACCTTTTGTATTTTAACTTACCATTTGCTTCATTTGTAAGAAGCTTGAATTTACCATGATATAGAAAAGCCTTAATATAAGGTGGCCTTAGGATTCCAAGTAATAGGACAGCTGCTTAGTTGAAATTACCTTCATATTGGGTCCTTTTGGTACTTCAAAGACTTAATGCCATTGAAGACTATTTTAAAACATTGTTTAATTCATAGTAGTATTAAAATAGAATTCAAACTCAAGATTTTAATTTTTCTTATCTATAGTGGAGTAATGCCTTCTGATTGAGCCTTTGAGAAGTTTCCTGTGGTTTTCTTAATAAATCTGGACCCTGATTGTAGTAAGTTTGGGATATGCCAGAATATTTTACAAGTATTTTTGATCATCCTGTTTCATAAACCTAGTATTACATCTAGAATGTGAAGACCTAAATGTTAACACCTAAGTTTTATTCCAAATTTATTCCTCTTTTCCAATTAAATCCCAATAAATTTCCTGTTTATGTAGGCAGAGAGATTTATATAGGGTAATTTCTGAATATAACTGAGTATTATATATTAGAGCAATATCCTATTAAAATTCCTTTTGTCTTAAACTTTGTTTAAACTAATTACAACAATGTGACAATGTGTATTCTAATCATAGATATTTTGGTCAGTAAATTGAAAACTGGCCATTTCTTAAGGTGGATTTTACATTCATCAGTTCTATAGAACAATTATACTAGTTCACTTTTCTTCTTTGCTTCCTGTTCAGCAGCTCAATAGTGAAGTTGATGAGAATTTAGCCAGCGTCTATTTGTTGTTCCACTTGAAGGATGGTTTGGGGTTTTTTGTTTGTTTTTTTGGCCAGGACCTGTGATTGCAGCAGTTTGGAGAACTTTCAGGTGTGGAAATTTCTTCTATATATACAAATTGGCAGCTCATTGTCGTTTATTGTCTTACAGAGTTGCTTGGGACACAAAAGACTAGTGACTTTTTCTGTTATTACTTAGCTAGCATTTGTCTGAGGAAGAACTTGAAACTAGGTCTTCCTGACTGCAAGAATGACCCTCTATTCATTATTCCATTCTGCCTCTCCTTGAAGGAATATAAAGTAAAAGGAAAATATATTCTGAAGAGCCTGTGTAGTGAGAATTCCTTGAGAAAGAAAACCAGTAACTTTCCCCTGTTTTTTTTTTAAACAGGAAAAATAAATCATTGCCATGTTTTAAAATCACAGATTGTCAAAATTTGATCTTGCTATCTTTTTGGTTAGGATTCTGGAGTCTGTCTTTTATAAATAGAGTTGAATAGCATAGTGTAAGGATTTCCTGCTGTTTTGACGATGGAAATTAGGAAGCAGTCAGTAAGTATTTTTTAAAGGACCTGCTATGTGCTAGAGACTGTGGTAGGTACCAGGGATACAAAGGGATCATGCTGGAGCTAGCTCTTGAGAACTACAGTTAAATTTTAATTGTGAATAGTCATACTCTGGAAATTAGCAAAGGCTACAAATTAGGGGTTGACTAATTGTTTTGTTGATTGTCTAGACTTAAGAAAGTGATGGAGAAAATGTTAATACTGCAGATTACACTTGTGTGTATTTTTTTTTTGAGAACTGATAACCATTTACT